ATACTAACAGCAGGGTCAAATTGAAAAAAGCTAGAGGATAGACATGGACAGCAAGTAAATCAAAGCTACCACTGACTTCATTTCCCATAAGAACACATGAGCATCGTGAATGAAGAAAGTATCCCCTTTTAGAACATTTAGAGGAAATAACTACACTTTAACCTAAAACCAAAAACAGTGTATATATGCTTAACAAAGCTATCCATATGCTTAACAAACAAGTAGTAGAATCGGAACAAATAAGTTTATAAGAACCGTCACTAAGAACAACTTGCTTGCGGCAACGACAGAGAAAATATGTGAAGCTGGTATGATGAGGGAGAGAGATGCCACATAGAAAAAGTGAAAGAGACCGCAATTTAATCAGGACACAGGTTTATACCGCATGTCAAATTACTATAGAATTCTAATAAGTTGACCTGAGTAAATATTGTTCATATATACTTCCAGAATGAGAACCAAACAAACTTATAACAAAGCATGGAAAAAAAAAGTGTGATGTCATCAAATAAACAAAGATTTAGAATAAACTAAATGGTGGAGTCCCAAAAAAGAAGGAAAAGAATCAAAGGAAACAGTTCAATTTATCACTACATTACAATAGTCAAGAGGATCCTGTAAAAACTAGATTCAGCAGTAAAATGGGGATACTTAGGAAGCGGGCTAACGGGAAAACATAGGAGCAGCAGTCACTGAGAAAGCTTTCTACTGAAGCAATACAGTTGCAATCTGTGATGAGACAGTAAGAGTGCATGAAACAAGCTCCAAAATTTGTAATTCACTTAATTGACAAATGACTTTGGCTCTATTTTGTCAAATTGAGGAGAGCCATACTCCCACAAGGTCAAGCAAATCTATATGAACAGCCCAAAAATCAAAACATGAAGACATGCCCGCCACATGTCTAAGAATCGTCTAGGTTCCCCATGTCCAAACTCCGGCCAGAACACAAGTGGGCAAATCATGGATAAATCAAATGTGGGCATTGCGCATCTTATTAAGTAACTTTGTTAACAGGTTCGGTTGCTACCCTCTAACTGTGCTTTTAAAAAAACAGATTTGGGTGCCTACTTAGCAGAAACGGTGCCTAGGCCGCTTAAGATTAGCCTTGGAGCTCCTCCTAATCACAATGGAGCATGTATGCTTTTTTTTTTTTTTTTAAGATTAGGCAGCCCACTAGACTTAACTAGGCCTGGGCTGGGTTTGACCTGATTATCTTAGGTAATGTAAAGTAGCATGGACACAAATACAAGACATTATTGACACGGACTGAGGGTTGTCGAATGGGTTGTTTTGGGTGGGTCATAAATGGGTGGACACATTTGTGCCTATTTGCCCATTTATGACCCATTTAGCATTTGCTAAATGGATCACTGTTCATGGGTGATCCAATAACTCATTTAGTTATTGGAATTTTATATATAAAAAAGTTTTAAGCGTCTATTTTTTAAACTTACAAATGATACATGAAATCTAAAAATTATCAACAACCAATTGTAAATTTAAAATTTGCAAAAAAACACCCTTAACAAATTTAGTAAATGTGAAAAAAACCCTCAAGGGTTTAGAATTATAAAAACAACTCTGAAATTTCAAAACCTAGCTAATGTACATGGAAATTCAAAAATTACCAGCAGCACCCTATAAATTATAATTTGCAAAAAAATCACAAAGTTTAAAACTTGTAAAAACACCCTCAAGAGTTCAAAATTACAAAACAATCTCAAAAAATTTCTAAACTTGCAAATAACACATGAAATCTAAAAAAATTCAAACGTCCCCCATAAATTTAAAATTTGCAAATAACACCCTCATAATTTTAAAAATTGTAAAAAACATACTCAAGGGTTTTAAAATTACAAAAACCACCCTGAATTTTCAAAACCTACAAATGACACATAAAATCCAAAAACTACCAGTAGTCGCTAAAAATTTATAATTTACAAAAAACACCCTCAAAGTTTAACAATTATAAAAAATCCTCAAGAGTTCAAAATCACAAAACAATCTCAGAATTTTCTAAACTTACAAATGACACATGAAATTTAAAATTTCCACAAGTCCCCTATAGATATAGAATTTGCAAAAACACCCTAAAGTTTAAAAAAATGCAAAAAACACCCTCAAAAGGGTTTAGAATTATAAAAACCACCTTGAAATTTCAAAACCTACAAATGACGCATGAAATCCGAAAATTACCAGCAACCCCAAGAAAATTTATAATTTATAACAAAACACTCAAATTTTAAGAATTACAAAAAACACCCTTAAAAGTATAAAATTATATAAAACTCTCAAAATTTTCTAAACTTACAAATGACATGAAATTTGGAAATCTCCAACATCCCCTTGTAATTTTAAACTTTTGATGTTGTTTTTGATAATTTTAAAACTTTGAAGGTGTTTTTTACAAATTATAAGGTTTAGGGCGCTGCTAGTAACTTTCAAATTTTATGTGTCATTTGTAGGTTTTGAAATTTCAGGGTGGTTTTTATAATTCTAAACCCTTGAGGATGTTTTTCACAATTTTTAAAACTATGAGGTTGTTATTTACAAATTTTATTTTTATAGGGGAATGCTGAAATTTTTTAGATTTTGTGTCATTTGCAAGTTTAGAAATTTTTTAGCTTGTTTTGTAATTTTGAACTCTTGAGTGTTTTGTAATTTTGAACTCATAAGGGTGTTTTACAAGTTTTAAACTTTTGAGGGTGTTTTTTATAAATTATGATTTTTAGGGGGTTGCTGGTAATTTTTGGATTTCCATGTACATTAGCTAGGTTTTGAAATTTTAGAGTTGTTTTTATAATTCAAAACCCATGAGTGTTTTTCTCATTTTCTAAAACTTTGAGGTTGCTATTTGTAAATTTTAAATTTATATATGGGCTTACTGAAAATTTCATGATTTCATGTGTCATTTGTCAGGTTAGATAGTTTTGAGAATTTTTTATAATTTTTAACTCTGTGTGTTTTTTATAATATTTAAACTTTGAGGGTGTTTTTAGCAAATCTCGACTTTTTAAGGGTTGTCGGTAATTTTCTAATTTTATGTGTGATGGTCATTAGTTTACCTTTAAAGTGTTTTTCTATAATTTTAAACTTTTAAAATTATTTTTTGTAGTTGTTGAAATTTTGAGGGTGTTTTTGAGAGAATACTCATCTAAATGGGGTATATGGGCGGGTAATAGCCCGCCCATTTATGACTCATTTATCTTTAATAGAAACAACACACACCCATTTATGACCCATTTATGACCCATTAACTAAATTGGTGGATTTGGATGGTTCATTTAGTGGGTGGGTATGGGTGGGCAAATGATTTTGGGTCAATTTTGTCATCTCTACACGGACAACAATTCCTCATAAAACAGGTTTTTATTTTTACTTTTTTTTTATTTACTTTTGGGGGTTTTTTTGGGAGGGGTGGTGGGGGGATACACATTCATGCAACCAAGACTGTAAACTATTATATCTAATGATATAAATATTTATATCGTTTACATATATGTAAAACTTAAACCTCTTTTCTACCAAAGTTTCATAAAAGGCAATATATTCATGTCATTTCTTCACTCAGGTCTTTGATATGTATACAAATTAAAATAAGTGATATTTCAAGCATGTAGCTTAAATAAAACAGTAAAAAAAGTAAAGAATATGCGTCAAAGAAGTGTAAGACAAGTGTTTTAAATTAAAATATTACTATATAATTGCAGGATACTTTTTGATACGTGTAGCCAGGTACCCAAGGAGTAACCAAGAAGTGCCAATGTCTAGTGGCAAACTGTTAGAAATGGGAACAACTTCATGTCCACCCCCGCATTCCCCACAACTTCCTCCTCTATGATACAGGCCTTCCCTCCCTCTCTTTCAATCTATCTATCATACAGGCATAGGACTGTCCTGTTCTATTCTAATCAAATATAAAACATACTAAACATCCTAGCCTAAGAAAAACATATAGCTTTTGTTTTGAAAACAACTCATAATAAAAAATAAATAAATTCACGAAATTCCTTAAATCATTATTTTTTTTATCTTCTAAATTAGTTCCTGAAAAAGTATTCTCCATTGTATTTAATCTAGACTCAAACAAGAAACAGCAAATGAATGTAAAGAGGTCTAGGATGAAGAAAATAAATACCTGACCTAGTGAGTGCAATATGAAATAATGAGACAACAAAAAGTGATGATCAGCAATATTTCCAGTCCACATGGGCCGATGCAGGCACAGATTGTTGACAAGATATCTATAAGTAAACAATCACACATTACCTTTGTGAACTTGCAGGAGAATACATCACTGCTGTTGATGGGCCACAAGTGCAAGAGAACTGGATGGACCGTCTGCCAAGTTAGAACCTGAAAACATTGAAGAATCAGAAGGAATTCCGCTCAACAGCTGCGAACTCTTCTTCATTTCTCATTCTTCAGGAGTCAGAAATTTGGTTAGTAGAAAAAATGAAGCCATCGCGTGTCAGACACATCCTTGGTGTATGTCAGACACACATGTAAAACACACCGGTGGGTACGACACTTCTGTCCATGAAGTGATGTATCAGTCCTTGTATCCGTCATCCTGATTAACTTATAACATGGTTTGCAATTGTCTTCTGGATTATTGGAACCACCAACCTGACACAGGAGCCAACTCTTCTTGTTTTCTTTTGTAACTTGATAAGAGCCCAACAGGATACATGAAGGAATATGTAGGTTATAGCAACATTGCATAGAAAGGTAAGTGAGGCAGGTAGTTTTCTGTTCATTGGCAGAATTTTGCAGCTCCTCGGAAATAATTCAAGGTTGTCTTGTGGGTCATACTAATAAAATTGCAACTCCTTGAGAGGTTTGAAATAGAACTGAGGAAAATTTAAACTCTCAAACATGTTGATTCTCATTTCTAATGTTTCAAACTCTTTACATTTCTGAAACATGCATCTGACCCAATGATAAAATCCACGGCGGTCCATAAACTATTGAACAATGAAGCGTAGAAGATATAATGCAGCTATTAAACAATAAAGAGTAAACGATATAAAGACTGAATATGAACCAGAATATAATGAATTTTACACATATTCTAAAGCAAGTTACAGATATTTTGCATGCCCCCAACCTAACTGAAGCAATTTGAGTAAAGCTGTAAAGAAAAAAGTAATACATATGGGGGCCAATAACGTTTAAATATGGTATTTAAAGGAATAATGATCTCTACCAGGAATGTGCCATCTCTACCAGGAATGTGCCAGTGACCCACCCCCATCATCACCATCCCTCTCTCTCTCTCTTGAGAAGTTTGACGAGGCAATGAGCAGAACTTTCCTCACTTGCTTGAAATACAGCACTTATTTACAACCATGTCATCTGAAAAATCTCCATTTACCCGCCAACTCTTGCAGCTTCTTCAAGCTCCTATCCATGTCAACCCATCAACATCCACAATGCAGTCCACAAACTTTCAACTGATGGGAATGCACATACTATATATCTTCCATTCCCTCAAACTTGATCAAATTACAGTCGGCGCTGACCGATATTGGTTAGTGACTACACTGTTCATTTTCCCATTAGAATGCCTAACCCTAAAACTTGCTGACCTCCCAGGCTTTGGCTGAAAAAGTGAGCTAAGCATCTTCTCCAGTGTCTGGGCTGTGTACTTGGCATATTTGCTAGCACTTGCATCTTGTTCCACAAGGGGACCGTAATTCTGCATATAACTTCTATAGACCGGAACTATAGCCTGAATAATCAACTGGCATGTCTTCTCCCTCAAATCCTTATCCGAAATAACCCAATTCGATTGCTTCTGATACATGTCATCAAATGTGTCATTAAAAGCTTTCAACCTCTTCTTTACCAAATCTCTAGCCGTAGCCCTTCCACCCGAGAATAAGATCAACCCTTCCCTACTCAACAAAGATGGAAGCTTTGACCAGCTCTCCCTTAAATAACAAGCAGCATAATACTCTTTATATTGCTCGTGTTCCCTCAACCAGGGATCCCCCAACAATACCCCAAGCTTAGTTCCTTTCAAGTGCTTGAAGAAATGCCAATGTGTATTCATCATGAAAAGGTAAGAGAGAATCTGATCCTCATACCCTTTTGACCAAGCCTCGAAATTTACCTCCAACGCTTTGATTATATTCAATATAGCGTCCTTCAAAAGCCCCTCATGAAAATTCTGCCGATTCCAACTTCGTTGGATGCCCAAAACCTGCGTAAGGACCGGCTTATAATCCTCTCCAAGCAACCTATTGCAATAATCAGTGATAAAACTCACGAGCTTAGGAACCGACCCATCCAATGGCGGAGGAGTTTGCCTCTGCAACTCGACTTGAACCAACAACTCCCAGAAAATCTCACAAGAACCATCAATCACTCTCTTGATAAGGTCCCTAGTCTCATTCTGAATCTCAATACAAGCTTTCCCCCCAAAAAGCCTATTGAAATCAACCCGCAACCGGTTCAAAGAGTTGAAGATATCAAGAAGCTTCAAAAGCTTAATGGGGTCCTTCTTGCTCTCGGTCACCGTCTTCCCAAACTTGAGGAAAGCAAGAATGCCAGCTTGAGCAGCGATCTCAGCGAAGCATCCTGTCCAAACTTCCGGCGGTCCAGCTCGCTCAAACACATCATTACAAAGCTTATACTCAGCTTCAAACAAATGCTTAACTGCAAACTCCAAATGCTTTCCCCATTTCTCAATCCACCCCTCAATACTCTGCACATCATCGAAATCCGCTACAGAGATTTCAAGATAGTTCAGATCTAAAGCTTTAAGGCTAGCCCTAACATTGGATCCCCGAACCTCAATGTAGATCGAGACACACCGATCAAGCCTATTGTTAGCAATCATGCGTTCAATGATCGCAGCAAGCTTGGTGATGACGTGCACGGGGAGAGGCGAAGGGGCAATGGCGGCAGCAGAGAGGGAAGTGCTCGGCATCGGCAACGGAACAGAATGCTCATCAAGAAGCCGACGGAACTCCGTTTCAAGCCTAGTTAGGGCTTCCTCAAGAAGTCCACCATCAAGGGAAGAAGAAGAATTAGATTTGAGAAACGAAAGCGAAGACTTGAGGTTCTGCAAAAACTTAGAATCAGCAACGGCGTTGTCATCAAGATAATCAACGATATCATCGAGCCACTGAACAGCGAGAGCGCAGTTATCGGACAAAAATCTTAGGGCTTCCTCTAATCTTTTAAGAACAGAGAGATAGGAGTTGAGATCAGAGCGAGGATCAGAGAGTAGAGGAGGTTCGAGGCCATGGACGGCGTCGAAGACCTTCGAGGCACGGCGGCCGGCGGGGCCATACGGCGCGGTCGATGTGGCTGCGGGCCGAGGCGAGGCCGAGCGCGCTGAGCTCTGGATGCGGGCGGACGGGCGGCCTCGAGCGACGGGCAGGCGGTGGTGGACTCGTCGAGGGCGAGGACGCGCACGGAGCGGATGGCGGTGGAGAGAGCGGCGGGGGGTGCGAGTTCAGCGGCGGAGAGAGGCGGCGGGGGCGCGAGACTTCCAAACCCTCGACTTCTCGATTCATTTCAAGAATGAGAATCAGAAAACCCTAAGTTTACTGGGAGCGCATTGGATTGGGGGTTTTGATGGGAATAAGAAGGGAATAAGAGGGGTTAGACCTAATTTTGACTGTAGAAGAGAGAGAACAATCAACAACCAAGGAATTAAAGAGGATTGGGATTTTGTTAGGAAAAACAAAAAATAAAGAGGAAGAAACTGGAAAGTTTGGAGAAAGGGGGGGAGGGGTGGAAAGAAAATGAGGGACGATTTTTGGTTGGAGTGTTGGAGTGAGTGACAGCGAGAAATGGACTTACTTTTATTTTATTTCTTTTATATTTTTTTTTGGGGGGGGGGGGGGGGGGGGGGAAAGGAAGG